ACATGGAATAATATATCAATAATTGGTTAGGTGTTAAGTGGTCCACTTTATCGCTCTTCCTACCGGGTGTGATGTCACTGGTATCTTGGGGGTCTACCCCAGATTCCAGCGCCATCTTGTTAATGAGGGTGTTAGTCGATGTCAAAGGGAAACTCCCTAGCGGCCATTTTTAGGTAAATCACATATAAAGTTGAATAATGCTGATTGTAGTTATACTGAGTAAATAGGCATTTTACCAACATGGATTGGGTTAATATCTTTGTCCACAACACGTAGCTGTCTGTGTTTGTGTTTATGGGGTTGTGTAGCTGTGTGTGTCTGTTTATGGGGTTGTGTTGCTGTCTGTATTTATGAGGTTGTGTAGTTGTGTGTGTCTGTGTTAATAGGGTTGTGTAGCTGTCTATGTTAATAGGGTTGTGTAGCTTTGTGTGTCTGTGTTTATGGAAGTATGGATTTGTGTTTAATCACTGATCTGTGACCTCCATGTGAGTTGATGATTTGGCCAGTGGCTCCAGGTAAATTGCAGCTGAGACTGTTATCCCATAAACCCTCACAGCTGCAGATTATGGGATAAGTGGTTTACCCCCCAAAACAGCCATTTTATAGCTGGGGATTATGGGATAAATGGTTTACCCCCAAGAACAGTCATTTTATAGCTGGAGAATTATGGGATAAATGGTTTACCCCCAAGAACAGTCATTTTACAGCAGGAGATTATGGGATAATTGGTTTACCCCCAATAACAGTCATTTTACAGCTGGGATTATGGGATAAATGGTTTACCCCAAATAACAGTCATTTTACAGCAGGGGATTATGGGATAAATGGTTTACCCCCAAGAACAGTCATTTTACAGATGGAGATTATGGGATAAGTGGTTTACCCCCAAGCTGAGACCAAAATCGAACTCTTTGGAATCAACTCAACTCCCCGTGTTTCGAGGAGGAGGAATGCTGCCTATGACCCCAAGAACACTATCCCCACCATCAAATATGGGGGTGGAAACATTTTGCTTTGGGGGTGTTTTTCTGCTAAGGGGACAGGACAACTGCACTGCACCAAAGGGACAATGAACGGGGCCATGGAAAATCCACAGCTGTGGAGGGAGCTGAAGGTTCCAGTTGCCAAACGTCATTCTCAAAACCTTAATGACTTGGAGAAGATCTGCAAAGAGGAGTGGGACAAAATCCCTCCTGAGATGTGTGCAAACCTGGTGGCCAACTACAAGAAACATCTGACCTCTGTGATTGCCAACAAGGGTTTTGCCACCAAGTACTAAGTCGAAGGGGTCATATACTTATTTCCCTCATTGACATGCAAATCAATTTATAACTTTTTTGACATGCGTTTTTCAGGATTTTTTTTGTTGTTATTCTGGCTTTCACTGTTAAAATACACCTATAATTAAAATTATAGACTGATTGTTTCTTTGTCAGTGGGCTAATGTTAAAAATCAGCAGGGGATAAAATACTTTTTTTCCTCACTGTATGGGTTAAGTGGTTTACCCTTAAGAACAGTCCTTTTACAGCTGGGGATTATGGGATGTGTTTTTTTTTATTATTTATAAAATATTTTACCAGGAAGGATACATTGAGATTTCTCTTGTTTTCAAGTATGTCCTGGGTCCAAAAAACATTGCATTGATACAATAGGGTACAATAAAATACAAAACCAATATTAATACACATTATATACAAAATTTAACATAGAACAGTTAAGAAATATATAATCAACCATGACAGGTGCATTCTGTTTTGAGATATGTAGAGAGGGATCGGAAGATTTGAAAGGTCGTTCCATAATTGTGGTGCGCTGTAGCCGCTTTCTTTTTCTATTGAGGTAGACTAAATAAAGTGCTGGTACTGGATCGGAGGTTGTAGGAGGTGGGTACAGCATTCTGCTCAGGTAGGTGGGGAGCTTCCCAGACAAGCTTTTAAACACAAGTCTGGAAAGATGAAATATAGAATGTGACAGCAGATAAGAACCATTCGGCCCATCTAGTCTGCTCACATTTCAAAATACTTTCATTAGTCTCAGGCCTTATTTTATAGTTAGGATAGCCTTATGCATATCCCTAGGAAGGGTGTGTGTGTGTATTCCAGCGACAGCCAGTTTAGTTCTTTTAGCATCTCACACTGGTGGGTCATGTAAATACAATGTATTAAGTTTATTAAGATGGGTTTGCAGTGCAGGGGCAACAGCATTACCCCCAAGAACAGTCATTTTACAGCTGGGGATTATGGGATCAGTGGTTTACCCCCAAGAACAGTCCTTTACAGCTGGGAATTATGGGACAAGTGGTTTACCTTCAAGAGAAATAATTTTATTCCTCTGTAAACCGGTAACACCTGAAGTGCACACGTAATCTGCTTACACATGGCTTAGTGAATTGATATGTTTGGCGCACAGCAGAGCCACAGTGGGCATAGGTAGAGTTAGACCGCCTTGCAGGTCTCCAGAGAGGACCACGTACCTGACTGACGTGATTGGTTCCTTAGCTGGGCAGATATGATGTAATATCATTCCTCCTGACACTCTAAGGGAGCTGCTCGGATTTAAGCAGAGCTCTCACCCTGTTCCAGCCTGCTCTCCACTAGACGCTAGTTCAGGCACCCTTTCACAGCTACATATAGAGGAGTGATTTAAAGAGTTATTTACTAAAGTAAAAATTCAATGTGAATTTCAAGTTTAAGGCCAGCATAGCTGAAGTTAAATAATTTGACCCGTTCAGCTATTTTGACCTTAAATTTGAAGTCTCATTTTGAATAGTCCTGTAATGTTACGTGTAGTGTCTATATTTCAACGTTTGTGTCTGTTAGTGTGTCACAGAATGTATGACTCTGTGAGTATGTATGAAGGGTGTCTGAGTAGACCTGTGCACTAATCTCTTTAAACTGTGTGGGACGAATCAAATGCCTGTAAATCTATGGACAAACAAATCAATTCATCTAACAATTCCCAAAATAATTGATTGTTCAAAACAGCCAAAAGGGATTTGTGCACTAGTCTAATCTGGACTATATGACTGGCCTGTGTGTTTAAAGGGGTCTTTTGACAATGCACAGAGCATCTAACACACACAGCATAACAAACCAGTACAAACATCTCTAACACACACAGCATAACAAACACATCTCTAACACACTGTGACAGACACCTCCGCCAACGGATGCTCCTAGCGCTGCTCAAGGACCATCAGCACCGCACCAGACACCATAAGTACCGCAGACTCCACGAAACTGCCGTAGCTTGGTTGGGATCTCGCCGTCTCCTCCAAGAGGGTATAGCCGGGCCTCTCCTCCAAGAGGGTATAGCCGAGGCTCTCCTCCAAGAGGGTATAGCCGAGGCTCTCCTCCAAGAGAGTATAGCTGGAACTCCCGTCCAAGAAAGTATAGCTGGGGCTCTCCTCCAAGAGCGTATAGCTGAAGAAAGCTCTTACAAGAGCTATCAGTGATCAGTGGTATAACTGTTCCCTACAACAAAAGACAAGGCTACAAGTTGAGGGTAAGAAGATCTGGTTTATTGAATGCAAGGGGCATTTCTTTTATACAGTTTTCCCCACAAGGTTACCACCCACATGGACCTTGTTGGGCACGGAAAACACAAACGTAACAATCAATAGTTTACAATCACACAGTAAAACACTCCCATTTCTTACTGTAAAAGTCCTCCACTCGGGAGATAATTGAGTTAATTGTTGTATCAACTCAATTATCTCCAAGCAAACAATATACTTTTTTACACAATTTTATAACTCCAAAATTATACATTCAATCCCAATAAGAGATAGCAAACCAGTGCAAACAGTCCTCTAACACACACAGAATAACACACACAGCTGACAAACACACCTCTAACACACACAGCATAAACACACCTCTAACACACACAGCATGACAAAGACACCTCTAACACACACAGCTGACAAAGACACCTCTAACACACACAGCTGACAAACACACCTCTAACACACACAGCTGACAAACACACAGCATAACAAACACACCTCTAACACACAGCATAACAAACACACCTCTAACACACAGCATAACAAACACACCTCTAACACACACAGCATGACAAAGACACCTCTAACACACACAGCTGACAAAGACACCTCTAACACACACAGCTGACAAACACACCTCTAACACACACAGCTGACAAACACACAGCATAACAAACACACCTCTAACACACAGCATAACAAACACACCTCTAACACACAGCATAACAAACACACCTCTAACACACACAGCATGACAAAGACACCTCTAACACACAAAATCACAGGACTGATAACACCGAGCCCCATTCATCAAATAATATTCATGTTTCTCATGTTCTACCAATAATACATAACAAACACACCCCAACACACAGCACGACAAACACACCCCAACACACAGCATAACAACACACCCCAACACACAGCATGACAAACACACCTAACACACATGACAAAACATCCTAACACACACAGCATGACAAACACACCCCAACACACACAGCATGACAAACACACCTCTAACACATACAGCATGACAAACACACCTCTAACACACACAGCATGACAAACACACCTCTAACACACACAGCATGACAAACACACCTCTAACACACACAGCATAACATACACACCTCTAACACACACAGCATGACAAAGACACCTCCTACACACACAGCATGACAAAGACACCTCTAACACACACAGCATGACAAAGACACCTCTAACACACACAGCTGACAAACACACCTCTAACACACACAGCTGACAAACACACCTCTAACACACACAGCTGACAAACACACCTCTAACACACACAGCTGACAAACACACCTCTAACACACAACATAACAAACACACCTCTAACACACAACATAACAAACACACCTCTAACACACAACATAACAAACACACCTCTAACACACAACATAACAAACACACCTCTAACACACAGCATAACAAACACACCTCTAACACACAGCATAACAAACACACCTCTAACACACAAAATTGGGCAGACTAGATGGGCCGAATGACTCTTATCTGCCGTCACATTCTATGTTTCTATGTTTCTAACACACAGCATAACAAACACACCTCTAACACACACACAGCATGACAAACACACCTCTAAGACACACAGCATGACAAACACACCTCTAACACACACAGCATGACAAAAACACCTCTAACACACACAGCATGACAAAAACACCTCTAAACACACACAGCATAACAAACACACCTCTAACACACACAGCATGACAAACACACCTCTAACACACACAGCATGACAAAAACACCTCTAACACACACAGCATGACAAACACACCTCTAACACACACAGCATAACATACACACCTCTAACACACACAGCATAACATACACACCTCTAACACACAGCATAACAAACACCTCTGAGAAAAAAACACACACAGCATAGCAAACACACCTCTAACACACACCTCTGAGAAAAAACACACACAGCATAACAAACACACAGCATGACAAACACACCTCTAACACACACAGCATGACAAACACACCTCTAACACACACAGCATGACAAACACACCTCTAACACACACAACATAGCAAACACACCTCTAACACAGCATAACAAACACACCTCTAAGACACACAGCATGACAAACACACCTCTAACACACACAGCATAACAAACACACCTCTAACACACACAGCATAACAAACACACCTCTAACACACACAGCATAACAAACACACCTCTGAGAAAAAACACACACAGCATAACAAACACAAATACACCTCTAACACACAGCATAACAAACACACTTCTAACACACACAGCATAACAAACACACCTCTAACACACAGCATAACAAACACGCCTCTGAGAAAAAAACACACACAGCATAACAAACACAAACACACCTCTAACACACACAGCATGACAAACACACCTCTAACACACACAGCATGACAAACACACCTCTAACACACACAGCATAACAAACATACCTCTAACACACACAGCATAACAAACACACCTCTAACACACACAGCATAACAAACACAAATACACCTCTAACACACAGCATAACAAACACACTTCTAACACACACAGCATAACAAACACACCTCTAACACACAGCATAACAAACACGCCTCTGAGAAAAAAACACACACAGCATAACAAACACAAACACACCTCTAACACACACAGCATGACAAACACACCTCTAACACACACAGCATGACAAACACACCTCTAACACACACAGCATAACAAACATACCTCTAACACACAGAGCATAACAAACACACCTCTAACACACACAGCATAACAAACACAAACACACCTCTAACACACACAGCATATCAAACACACCTCTAACACACACAGCATAACAAACACACCTCTAACACACACAGCATGACAAACACACCTCTAACACACACAGCATGACAAACACACCTCTAACACACACAGCATGACAAACACACCTCTAACACATCATAACAAACACACCTCTAACATAGCATAACAAACACACCTCTAAGACAAACAGCATGACAAACACACCCCTAACACACATAGCATAACAAACACACCTCTAACACACACAGCATAACAAACACACCTCTGAGAAAAAACACACACAGCATAACAAACACAAATACACCTCTAACACACAGCATAACAAACACACTTCTAACACACACAGCATAACAAACACACCTCTAACACACACAGCATAACAAACACGCCTCTAAGAAAAAAAACACACACAGCATAACAGACACAAACACACCTCTAACACACACAGCATATCAAACACACCTCTAACACACACAGCATAACAAACACACCTCTAACAGAGCATGACAAACACACCTCTAACACACACAGCATGACAAACACACCTCTAACACACACAGCATGACAAACACACCTCTAACACACACAGCATGAGAAACACACCTGTAACACACACAGCATGAGAAACACACCTGTAACAGCATAACAAACACACCTCTAACACAAACAGCATGACAAATACAACTCTAACACACACAGCATAACAAACACACCTCTAACACACACAGCATAACAAACAAACCTCTAACACACACACACAGCATAACAAACACACCTCTAACACACACACACAGCATAACAAACACACCTCTAACACACACACACAGCATAACAAACACACCTCTAACACACACAGCATGAGAAACACACCTCTAACACACACAGCATGAGAAACACACCTGTAACACACACAGCATGAGAAACACACCTGTAACAGCATAACAAACACACCTCTAACACAAACAGCATGACAAATACAACTCTAACACACACAGCATAACAAACACACCTCTAACACACACAGCATAACAAACAAACCTCTAACACACACACACACAGCATAACAAACACACCTCTAACACACACACACAGCATAACAAACACACCTCTAACACACACACACAGCGTAACAAACACACCTCTAACACACACACACACACACAGCATAACAAACACACCTCTAACACACACAGCATGAGAAACACACCTGTAACACACACACAGCATGAGAAACACACCTCTAACACACACAGCATGACAAACACACCCCTAACACACACAGCATAACAAACATACCTCTAACACAAACAGCATGACAAACACACCTCTAACACACACAGCATGAGAAACACACCTGTAACACACACAGCATAACAAATACACCTCTAACACAAACAGCATGACAACTACACCTCTAACACACACAGCATAACACACCTCTAACACACACAGCATAACACACACACCTCTAACACACACAGCATGACAAACACACCTCTAACACACACAGCATGACAAACACACCTCTAACACAGCATAACAAACACACCTCTAACACAGCATAACAAACACACCTCTAACACAGCATAACAAACACACCTCTAACAGCATAACAAACACACCTCTAACAGCATAACAAACACACCTCTAACACACACAGCATAACAAACACACCTCTAACACACACAGCATAACAAACACACCTCTAACACACACAGCATAACAAACACACCTCTAACACACACAGCATGACAAACACACCTCTAACAAAGCATGACAGACCAGTAGGAACATGCAGAGAATGTGTTTTGTAGAGTCATTGTCTGATGGCATGTGACACAAGGCTTAGCCCTGCCTCAGGGACATTCACCAGCTGCCATACAGACAGGGTTATGCTGTAACCTCCCCC